GTGTGCGTCCCCTGCCCTGCCACGGCTTCCCTGCCAAATGCAGGCACGAGAGCTGGGCAGGCTGGACAGGGTGTCCTGTCACGCCACAGCTGGGAAGCGCTGGAGAGCTACTGGAACTCCCAGAACGACCGTCTGGCCTGGGGAAGCTGGCTCTGGGAACAGCCCAGCCCCGCGCCAGCAGCTGGGCTGGGGGAGGCTGCTCCTCTGCCCCACTGTGGAGCTTGCTGGCTGTCACTGTCCATAGCACTCGTGCTTCTTCTGGTTTAGGGGTTTTGTAATATGGAGAACAATAATAAGGCCAAACAGCTGTTTCTTAGCACTGCAAAATTCGAAGGCTTTTGATAAATTACTAAATCCTATGTAAAATAAATCATTGTAGGCTGCCCAGGGAAGCAGTTGATTCGCCATCCCTGGAGGTATTTGGAAGACAGGTAGATGTGGCACTTAGGGTTTAGTGGTGGACTTGGCAGCCTGACCTTCATGGTTGAACTCAATGTTAAGGGTCTTTTCCAACCAAAATGATTCTGTGGTTGTTGTATAATGCTTGTTACTGTATGCATTGAGAAACTGAATGGAGGAGTCATCTCTACAGGCTTATTATTTTCTGTTTCCCTGAAATGACTAAGAATCATAAAGGGAAGCTAACCACCAAAAGAGTTGTCTAATGTACAATTAAGTGGACTCTAAAGAGATTTTAATTTTTCCAAGTCTGCTTTCCTTCATCTTCAATTCATTATGATATGAAGCCCTAGCAGATCCCACCTTTTCCCCCAGTGCTGGTCATTTAAAAAGAAAAAGAATATCGCTGCTTCTAAATATTTTGGCCTTTGAGCATGAAGTCCCCTTCATCCTACTAGAGCTTTCAGCAGCTCTCTGAAATAAGCTTTGCCTGTGACTTGTAACCTTTCTGGTTCTATTCCCAGGTTTTCCGATTGAACAGGGTGACCCCACTCAGCAGGTGGTCCCGCTCAAAGCCGAGCAGCAAGCCTACGACGATGGGCATAACTAACAACCGTGTACGGCTCCTAGGGCTCTCGGCTTGGGAAGCCAGACCCCGGTGGCTCTGAGGGCTGGGATCGGCCACGTGTGCCTGAGGTTAGCCGATGACTGCAGCGTCTGTGCATGTGCAGAATGGGGGCACGGCGCCATCCTGCCGCACAGCTGCGGGCCGGGCTGCAGGAGAGGTCCTGGGTGGATCTTCTCTGCCCGCTCGGCTGGGGCCACAGGTGTCCCTCCTTTTGCTTTGCCTTACTCTCCGGTAAAGAGGGATCAATGAGATGGAATTGTCCCCCTTAAACTTAGGCCGTTATAAAGGCACGTCTCGGTGAGCACAGGGCTGGTTTGTGTCGGCCTGTCCACCTCTGTCTGTCCGTAGCCACCTGGCTCTTTCTGCCAGCCGCGTACTGAGAGGTCTTGTGGTGTCACGGAGGTTATCCCTCTGAACGGTCGCTCGCGTGCATGCGCTCAATGTATATTGTATCTGTGCAGTGAGATATACTAGTCTGTATCTGCTGAGTGAAATTTAGTCCTGCGAGGAGCAGGGAGTTGGACTTGATGATCCTTATGGATCCCTTCCAGCTTGAGATACTCTGTGAAATTTTGAAAGGGAGGGTATGTGGTGGTGGTGGTGCATTGCTGGAAGGAAATGATTTGATGTGAGAGCCCTTCTTTAAAAGCTATGTGTAATATAATTAGAGACCGTGTCTTTAGAAAGAAAATTGAGACTCTTATGAGATATGTTTTTACTTTTTCATGCTTTTTAAAATTACTTCAATATTTGCTGACCACATCACATAGTTAACGTAGGTATTTTTTTCAAAGGTAGTTGAAGAAACTGTTGCTGTAGTGCCGATAAGAAAAGGTGGCCAAGTGCCTATTGTACTGGCTGTTTTGATGGAAAACGAATCACTCTTCTAAATGTGAAGAGATCACCTCAAAGTTAAGGCGTGTTACCAGAAACATATGTGGTGTGTTTCTCCTTGGAAAGCAGTAGTTTTGTATTTTCCTAAACAGTTAACAATGTTTACAGTCCAGGAATTGGATATAAACCATGAAATAAAACTGTCTAGATGGGTAACTGGTTGTGTGAAATAAACTTCATGTAGAAATGTCTATGTGAAAAAGAAAGTACCTTGTCTTTTTTCCCCTGCATCTCCCCGTTTCCATCGTTACGTGGCAGTTTGCAGCCTGGCGGCTCCAGGTCGGGACGCCTGCACACCAGCACCGCTCGCAGCGTGGCTGAGCACCGGACCTTCCAGCTTACAGATTAGAATGGGGAGTGTCTCGGTTCTTGTTCTGTTGCAATACCTAGATAATTAGAGTCAGCACTCTTAATTGTTGACTTTCATAAAGTGAATAAGCAAACAAAATAAAGGAGCTTCAGTTTTGACACTTTCATAATAATGAGCTAATAAACTGGTTAGTGAGAAGTCAATGCAAATCTCTGTATCTTTGTGTGGCAAGTCAGATTTTGTGCGTGTGTGCACAGTATATATGGGCCAGAAGTGCAGCTATGAGCCTCTGTATTACAGAACAAAAATATGTGCCGTGACCCTGTCTAGGTAATGGAAGTATTTTTAAGCTTGGCTGCTTGCCTGTGTGAGTTGCCCGACTGCTACGTATGTAGTTGGCCTGACAGCCTTCCGTGCCTGGAGCTGTTGAGTAGATGCTTACCTCCGAGTGTGTGTGTTTGGGGGAATTGATCTGCCTCGGCCGTAACCTCTTGATTGCCACTGGCCTGTGGCATTTGCTGGGCACGTCCGTCCTGCGGACTTGCTCGCACAGCCATGCTCATGAGCTATGGAGAGGTATCACCCAGTCCAGCTCTGCCTCCGCTGTGGATTCACTGTGTGCCAACGAAACTGTGCTTTGCCAGTGCAGCTGGTTTGCTTTGGGAAATATGGCTGGAACATCCAGCCCTTCATAGCTGGCTCTGTGTGTGGGGAGAGCGCTTTGTGGGTACAGCACAGTCTTTAGCTTGTACGTCTTCACACTGAAGCATCACCCTGTCTGTCTGCTCTCGGGCTTCTGACCTGCAGCTCTGTCTGAGCCGGTGGCCTGCAGAGGCAGGGACGGGGGCACGCGGTCAGTGCTGTGCCCAGTTCTGCAGCCGGGTAAGCCTTCCTGTTTGGGTAAAGCTCAGCCTGGTTTTGTAACCAGTGTGGCACTGTGGGAGCATTAGTGAGAGAAGGGCTGGCTGGTACCTGGTAATATACCCTGGAGTTGGAAAACCAACTAAGTAAAGAAAGGAGCAGTTTGAGCATCATGGTGGATCGCTCACTCTGCCTGCAGACCGGAGCAGCCCTGTCGAAGGACAAGTAGAGTGTTTGTGGTTGCAATGCCTTAGCTCATTGCATGCGAGAGAGGCAGGTTTGCTCTGCACCGGCTGATTAATGGCCCTGTGCCTGCGCAGTCGCTTCCTGGCCCATTTTGGGTTGCAGAGCTCCTCCAAGAGGTGGCCCATGAGGGGAGGTGGGTTTCTGCGAGAACCACTCCGATGGCTTGCGTGAGGTTTGCTCAGCCTTGAGGGGTCTGTGGGTCAGGAGAAGAGGGAAGCGTTAGGCTGGAGCAGGCTGCCAGGAACCAGGTGAATTTTCCTTGTCTACTCTGCATGGCTCTTGGATGGGAGGTTAGTTGTCGTACTCCATGTAGCGGCTATTTCTGCTGTTACTTAATAGCTGAAATGGCTGCTACTGCAGCCTGCAAACCTCCTCAGCTCTGTCCTCACAGGCCGGCATTTGCCAAGGACAACAGAAGCGTCTCGCTCGCTGGGAGCTATGAAACCCTTGCTGCTAAGGCGCTGTCTGGGGCGGGCTGTGCTCACGGAGGAACAGCTCCTGTGCTCCTTGGGGCAGGCGCTGCCCGGGCCTTGGGGGGAGCGAGTCCCTCGCAGGTCTCTGCCAGCGCCTTCGGCACTTCCAGCCAGGCAAACCAGGGTGAAGGGCTTGTGTGTGACAATACCAGTTGTGTGTTACTGCTGCTGTCATGGGAGGAGAAGGAACAGAACTTTGGTTATAGGGATGTTTGGCATAATATTTTTTCTTTTAAAAAGCTCCACAAAAGTAGCGAAGTTATTGCTTGGTACATGTATGACTGGGACTGTGTATACCAATAGTTGAAATCACTGTGACAGATGCTGTCTGTCCTAATTTAGTTAGTGGCTCAAATATGGAAAATTATATTTGTGTATTTGTTGATTGTGGGAGGAGGGGAAGAAAACAAAGGGGAAAACAAACTGAGTTATATTCCCAGTGGACAGACTCTAATGATAGCCTTGAAAAAGTCCAACACATGGTATGCTTAGCTGCTATTTTAGGAGCATCCACTGTATTTGTGGCTGGACATTTTTCTTGTGTATTAGAACTGAAAAAGAGAATGTAAAAACAAGTTAAGTTGCCATAAGCGTGCGTGCATGCACGGGATGTATGCAACAGAGAGCAGCAACTTGTTCTGTTTTCCATAGCTGTGCCTCTCCTCTCAGCCCCCGAGTGCACAGGGCTGCTTCCCTCCACGGGTGCCTGTACGTTCCGGGAAACTGGGGCTTCCTGTGTCCTCCGTTAGCTAGTCGAGAGCAGTGTCCTCTCCCACGGAGACCGGAGCGACGCGGTGTGCGTGTTCAAAGGCACGTGCCATTCCGGGGACAGCAGTGTGTGCGGCTCTGTGCAGAGTGAGTGGGTTTTCCCCAGCCGGGGATGCCCGGAGGCTTTGCTGAGGATGCTTGGAAGTTTAGTTTCCTATTCTATATGTTCTCTTAAAAGTTCTTCCTTTTCCTTAGCTGAAGCATCTGGAGTTGGAAGGGAGGTGGTGTACCTGCTGACAGTGTGTGCTGCTTTGTGCTTCACTGCTCATCTCCCTGGTTACTCAGACTCATGAGGTTCTCCTCAAAGGCTTGACTTCTGGGAAATTTCAGAAAGGTTCTCCTCAAAGGCTTGTCTTCTGGGAATTTACTTTTCAAGCAAGCTGGTTAAACCTAAATCCCGTGTAGCTGTGTCCACTGCAAATTTAAATGGCCTTAATTTGATTTAGTTAATGCCATTTCCGGAATGCTTAAGAATAACTATTTCCATGTAGAAATATAATGTGGTTTAACACATCTGGTTTAAATTTACGCTGTTCTTTAGGTTTTTTTCCTCTGACTGTCCCTGTGTAGACAACTCTCCCATTTTGTATACCCGCAGTAGTGTATGTGTGAGAGGTGATGTAAAGTGTCGCTGAACTCTGGACACTTGAGAGCTTGGAGTGCACAAATATGACTGGTATTTCTTTTGATGGTGGGAGCTCATATCTTTGTCTTGCTGAACCGGCTAAATTAGCATCGTTAGCTCCTACTTGGTTGTTCTTCAGCACTAGTTGCAAGTAATAGTTCTTCCCTTAAACAGAAGGTTTTATTGCCTAATGATTTCATTATCTCTTATAACTGAAGCTATTAAGAATACCATGGTGTTTTTTCCTCAACTCTCCCCTTTTACAGATGATGAACTGAAGCTAAATATGGTCCGCTACGAATGTGTGTGTGAAGGCATGTCCTGTGGGAATGGAGATCGTTGCCAAGGCCAGCAATGTTTTGCTTCCCTGAGCATTAATGACGGTGCTAAGGTTTACCAGAAAGGCTGCTTCCAAGTCTATGAACAAGGGAAAATGACGTGCAAAACACCTCCGTCTCCTGACCAAGCTGTAGAGTGCTGCCAAGGATACCTGTGCAACATGAACATCACTGCACAGTTGCCTTCTTCTAAAGGTGAGGGGTTAATTAATAAATAGTGGGGTTTGAGACAGAAAAAATATTTGGCTTTCATCTGAAGCGGTGGGAGTGAGATGGCTTCAGCACTAGCGAGAGTAAGGGTTTAACCAACGCGGTAAGGCCCTTTCTGCTGCGTTCCCCACCGCCCTCATCTGCTGTCCACAGGCTGAATGATCTGTGTTGCTGGGAGAATGACGAGGGTTAAAGTGTGCGCTCAGGGCCAGGGCTGAGTTGCTGCCTGTGAGTGAATTGCAGAGTCACAGCTGGGGTTTGTGCTGAAGGGACACGGCAGTCCCGACAGCTCTGCGTGGCGTCCTTTGTGTAAGTGCACACTTGTAGCTCCGCCTGGGTCATGCCTCTCTCTCAGACCAGGTGGCTCCCAAGTTAAATGTTGTTGTCAGTGCTGCTGCTTTTAAAGACTGTCTGGGAATTCGCAAATGTATTTATTTATTCTCTCTCTCTTTCTGTTTTTTTGCCTTCTTTTTTTTTTTCTTCTTCCCCTTTCCAAGGGCAAACCTTTCAAGGAGAAGCTGCAGGTTACAGCATGGAAACACTAATCATTGTTATACTGGCTCCTGTGATAGTCTTGATAGTTTTTTCTGCAGTAGCTGTGCTGATCATCCGGAGAATACAGAAAAACCATATGGAGAGGCTCAATTCTAGAGATGCAGAATATGGCACAATTGAGGGACTCATTGCGTCAAATGTTGGAGACAGCACATTGGCCGTAAGTAACCTGTGTGCATGGTGAGAACTTGTGTGAACTTTCTTCGCTTCCGAATTCCCCTCTCGTACCCTCCAGACGTGGCCAATAACGGGACCTTTTCCTGCCAGGGGATTCCACTTAGTGTCAGGGCTTCCGTGATGACGTTCTTGTGCTCGCAAAGCCGAAGTTTAAATGAAATTTAACCAAAAGATAGCTTTTGCAAGTATAGCTCCTTTGACTGGGAGAACTAGTATAAACTGTAGTCAAACTGTTTATGTTCCTCAAAGCGAGGCCTGAACAGCAAACCAGAATGTGTCTGATTGTTGGGCAGCCTGAAGTGATCTGCGATGTGTAAAAATGTACTGTGTCTTTGATATGTGAAAGGCAGCCTGAAAGGCTGGAAAAGATGTGATCCTAGGGGAAGAAGAAAACACAGATATTTGTAACTTTTAAAAACTTCAAACCTCTGACTCCCATGATCTTAGTAGAAGGGCTCTTGGATGGCTAGGAAATTAGTGAAATTTTCTTGACAGAAGAGCAGTAAGAATTCTAAAAAATTAGAACATAAAATTCAGTTTGTAAAATATGTTCTTGTTCGCATAGTCTCTGGAAAATAAAAAGACATGGGAAAGTATTTCCTTTTTAAAGACTTAATGTATCTTACCCTTTCACTTCAGGCCAGAAAAAAGTGTTTCAGCAGCTTCCCCATGCTTTACCGAAACTGAGCAAGTAAAGCTTCAGAGGCAGCGGGAGGGTTGGTTTCTGAAACCAATGCAAAGAGAAGTGTTCTCTTCCTTGCATTTCTAAGATAAAAATCTCCTCAATATTAAGAGGCTGGAAAACACTTTCCATTTTGGTGCTTTCCCGCCATTATGTACTTTCATTGCAGGGTTGAAAAGTGGCTAAAGAAAAATGGTCCAGAACAGAAATATTTTCAATAATATGCTACTAAATACATTGACTGGGTTTTTTCTTTCTGTGTTTCGGAGTGTGTTTGTGTTTGTCTCTGTAGGAGAGAGAAACTGAAATGGGTATTTCTTGAAGTGAGGAATAACCTTCAATATCTTCCTTAGAGAGTGTAGGTTACCACCAACTAAGGAAGCAGTTTTGACTGTGTCCAACAAAATACCCCAGGAAACGGTTGCAGCTCCTCACCTGAAAGCTGACAACCACTTTGCAGGACCAGTGATGGGAATTTATTAAAAGAAAGATCCGTGGGACCACTCAACAGCTGGAACTGTTTTGGGGAGCTGGAAACTATTTCTTGCATCTCTCTGTTTTGACGCAGAGGTGTTTCTATAAAATACTGCTGTGAATGACTGCTGGAAGAGTCTTGTGGAACACCCTTTCATTCACAAGACAGCATGTCCTGACAAGTATGTTTTCAGGGTTTGAGATGGCCGTAAGGGATACTGTTGGAGCAGGGAAGATTCTTCTTTAGGGAAGAACAGGTTAAAGCTGAGTAATCGGACTCCTGATCATCTGGATGCCCCAATACACATTTTTGAAACAGCCTGTGTGGGGAATGAGCAATAAACCAACACTTCAGCCAGGAAGAAGAGCATGGTTCTCTTAAGGGGTTGAGGGGGATGATGGAGACTCACAACATGGCAAGGGGTAAGGAGAGGATGGGTAGGAATCAGTTGTTTGCTTTCTGCAGTGCAGTAACAGGGGAGGCATCAAAATGAGCAAGAGCAAGGTTAAAAATAAGGAAGGTGGTTCTTAACACAGTGGTAGTTGAAGCAGTGGAACTCCTTGCCCGACAATTATTCTAGATGCTACGGGTTTGTATACATTCAACAACAGGATGACAAGTCTGCATGTTGTTAAGCATATTTAAAAAATAAAAATAAAAATCCAGCTCAGGAAGTCCCTGAGCTGAATGTGCTTGGAGGCTGGGAGAGCATTAGAGGAAAGTATGATGAGTGTTAAAGTATTCCCATATCACTTCTATTTCACTCCATTTCTGGTATCCCAATATCCTAATACTCCAGTGCCCCTATATACATCCATATGCCTAACACTCCTAGTAATGCCTACTACCCCAATTCACTCCACTTGTAATACCCTAATGAAGGGCGTTGCTTTTGGGTACAGTCAGAGACAAGTTACTGATCTAGAGGGACCTTAGGGTGGCTGCTCTGATAACAGAGGTTTGGCTTTTAAACGCTAGCTTCCTTCTAAGATGGAGCAGTGGAAATTGCCTCCCTCTGAGCTTGAAATGTCGTGGCACTTACGTGACTGCAGGACCAAGTGTGCGCAAACTGCAGCTGCTTGCTACTGCTGCCCTGCTGGTTCGCTTCAGCTTGGCCCCATAAAAACTATACTTGATAATATTTTTTTTTAAATGCCTTTGGCTCTCTTTAGCCCACAAGGCTTGATTTGGTGATACTGTTTTAAAACAGCCAGGTTTGATTTGTTCACCATGACCTAGACATGTGTGCAACTAGTTATCTGTCTTTAGGCACTGACGCCCAGCTTTTACCAGCTCTTATCTCTTATCAGCGCAAGACCATTCCCGTTCCATTTGCAAACCTTTTGCACTTCAAGACATTTAATGTTACTTGGAAATGGTGATAAAACCTGAGAAGAATAAATCAAAATTGTTTTTAAAAGAAATTGGAGAAGTTGCTAACTGAAGGCTTGGTCTGACGGAGCTGGTTTGTTCCCAGCTGTCAGACCCTCAGCTTTCTGGCTGTGGTGCCTCCCTTGTGCCTCTTGAGTTTGGGGATGTAAGAAAATTGATAGCTCCATGTTTCTAAATGTTCATCTAAACAGTAAGTCTTTCTTAAATTCCAGATTTTTCTTCTCCATTGTAGTTTTAAATCGCTGGTTTTGTTACACATTAGTTTACATTTAGGATTAGTCTCCATAGTGTAGCAAATGCTTAAAGCCCTAAGCTTCCTAATGGGGAGTGTAAAGCTGTGGCCTCTTCAAATCTTGTTTTTACAGTTGCTGCAGATAAGTTTGGTTGTTGTCTGTGTTGGTTTTTTTTTTCCTCTGATACAGGCAGGAAGGAAAATGAGCTCTCAGTTTGTATTAAAAAACAAAACAGCAGTCTCCTGTCTTTCTTAAATTATCTTTTTCTTGAGCACTCATTAAAAAATTGTTAGGAGTAATGAGATTTCATCAGATCTGGTTAAAGCCCAGTAGTGCAGTTTTCTGGAAATATTAGAAAGTTGATTATGCTTATGTTGGGTTTTTTTTATCCTATTTTCCTTTGTAAAGAAAAAAAGTCCAGTAATACAGTTGTTAATGATTTGAACTAGTATGGAAGTCCTAGCCATAAAAGTAGCTGGATATTAGCATTTTAAAAGGCTAATAGGATTTTACCATTCAATTAGAATCTTGCTCATAGGGGGGGTTTAAGCTTACAGTTTAAAGTCTTATTTCCATGCACTAAAAATACCAGAAACTGATAAAAACTGTTTAGAAAGACTTGTTACAGAAAATTTTCTGGAGTAGCAGTGACATATCTAGTGTAGGTGATCCAGGGAGTACTCCTATCACCTTGTTTATTTTTCAACTTGTTTTGGTTCTAAATAACTGTACCAAACTTGAATACTTTGGGCCAAAATTCCCCATGACTTATCTAACACAGAATGACTTTTTTAATGTTATTTTTTGATGGACTGTTCATCTAGTGTGGTTCAGCCACTTTAGGGAAGGAGACTTACAATAAATTATTTGGGTGTTGTCTTGTAAGGAAGTTCTGATTTGCGGCAGGGACGTGGAATTGGTGAGAGAAGCCCCAGTGGTGCCAGGTGCTCGGGGTGCTGTGTTTGGAGCCGCTTCAAAAGCTTATGGTTTAAAAGATCTGTCCATAGACATGTGAGTCCGTTCCCCGTGGACGCCGTCTGGTGCTCCACATGGAGAAGACTGTCTCAAGTTTCTGTGTAACGCATGCGAAGCAAACCCTAACCAACGCACAGATCTCTCCCCTTCCGTGCCGAAGGTAACGGGCTTCTGCAGCCAGCAGTTGCTGCCACGCTGCAGAGGATGTATCTGCAAATCTTGATCTGGCAGGTTAACTGCAAACCAGCAAAGTATTGCATGATTTGGTTTCTCTTCACTGTTGCTAAGTTAATTTTTAGCACTTAATTTGGGGATTTGATTGCTAAAACAGAGGTGTCTGGTGACATTAAGGTGCCATGTGGTTTTTAGGGCAGGTATGTGAGTCTGACAGGTACAATACAGGACCTGTTGGATACCTGTTCTGCTCTGGGAGGGTGTCTGCGGGTCAGCGAGATAGACCAGGATGTCCCAGATAGCACTAGGTGCAGTTAACCAGCAGTTCACCAGTGGTTCCCACTCTGTCAAAAGAAAGTTGGGCACACGGGAGCAAGGTGGTGAAGGTTGCTGCAGCAGCCTTCCTCCTGCTCTGTTACAGCTGAAGCACTGCTTTGCAGGGGCACATAGTTTCATAAATTAATGCTCAGACTGGAAAGCGAGGAGGATGGTGAGTGGGTGATGGGGGTCTGGCTGCAGTTCAACCCTCCCAGAAGGGATCGGTTTTGGGGTGCTCACCTGCTCCACCTGCCTGAGTGTGCTTCATGGGCTTGGCGGGAGAGCGGAGCAGCGAAGCAAGCCTCCAGTCCCAGTGGAGTCGGTGGCCTTAAATGACTGATTAAAAGCTGAAGGAAAACATCGGACAAGCAAAGGATGCTTTTCCCATACTGACAGATCACATTGCTGTGCCCTCCTAGTCATCTTTACTGGGAAGAAACCACAGGGAACCAGAAGAATGGGAAAAGTCTGCACGAATGTTCAGAAATTAAGGCTGTTTTTCTTTTTGCTAGCTGTATAGGGATGAAGGCCTTGGGTATAGGAGGAATTAGAGTAAATAAGTTTATTTCTTATTGAAGTGGCTGAAATTATTGCAAGGTGTAGAAAATTCGGAGGAAAAAAAGTTTATATTAACCTCTTTGAAATAGGTGACAGATACTTCACTTATGTTCTCTCAGTTCTGTAAGAGAACATCAGAGTGCTGCAAAGGAGTGGAATTTTGCAAGAGGGTAGCTCGTTGGCTATGAGTGAGCTTCCAGGTTCACAGGCAGTAAATTGGTTGTCGCTTATGTATTAAACAAAATGATTTGTTTATTAAACAAAATGATACTGTAATGCCAAATAAAAGAGCCAGAATAAGAAATCTGAGAATGAAACGATGCTTGATTTGTTTGCTGTTCACTGTTGTGTGTAACTTTTCCAACAGAGTGTGATTATGCATAAGTTATGGCTCCCCTGCCAGTCTCTTCTGTGCACGGGATGTTCTTTGAAGTGGTAAAAACTTGCAAAGAGCATTCTCTGACCATCTGTACGGTGATGGCAACAGTATGTCTTGATCCTGAGTGATCAAATGGCATCACCAGAGCCATAGAGATACCGATGAGCTTTGACTTAACCTATCCTGTGAAGTGGGGTACCTTTCTGTATTTAATCAGGGGGAAAAAGTAGTTTCTCATAGGTTATAAACTTTCGCTTTTCCTTTTCAACAGGATTTACTGGATCATTCCTGCACATCTGGAAGTGGTTCTGGACTTCCTTTCTTGGTGCAAAGAACGGTGGCTCGCCAGATCACACTTGTAGAGTGTGTAGGTTAGTAGAAGTCTTCTTCGTATCAAGTGCCACGTCTTGGTAGCAAAGGCAGACAGAAAGGTTTATCTCCCACCCTAATTATCTGGTTTTCCTCAGTTATATTATATTACGTTATGTTTATATTATATTATAGTATAGAACTTTTCAGGCTTTGGCTTTCCAGAACCAAATATGTTCTATATGTGAAGTGAAAAAATTCCTTTCAGATCTATGCAGATTAAAGGGGCAAATATCATCTGTGCTTTTTGATTGGAAAAATTTTAAGATTTTCTCAGTAAAGTGATAAGAAAATACAAACTAGACTTGTTTGGGTACATTGGTAAGCGAAATAAACTACGTTTTTAGAAAAGCAAGCTCAATTTGAAGTTTGAAACTGTCAAACTGTGAAACAAAGATTTGTTCATTAAATGGTGTTCAGCTAGAAAGCTTTAGGATTAGAAAAGGATCATCTGGATTTGAGATCTGGAGTAGAAGTGTCAAGCAAAGTGGCTAAAGTGGCGTTTTTTTAAAAAAAAAAAGTGTGATTCTGTGCCATTAGAATGGTAACAGGAATGTCTTGTAGCTTGCTCTGCACTGTTGCTTTGGGACTGTGCAGGCAATGATGTGCTGTTGCTGCTCTTTTCCCCCTGAGAGAAAGATCTCTCTGTAGCAATTCTTCTCTAAAACTCTTCTGGGTCTGAAGTTTTATATATATATTTATATATAA